CAGCATGACGTTAGCTGAAATTGAGGCAGACATAATCGCGGGAAAGTGGAAGGTCGTGCGAACAAAATAAGCTCTTTTTTCGCCTAAGAGATAATGCAGTAGCGCTGGCCACATAAATTTCTTTCTTTCTTTTATTATACATATATTTTTGAATATATGTATAATGGAAGAAAGAAGTATAAACGGTTCTTTTCAGAGCCACCCATACGATACCTTTGCTGAATTGCAATGACAATCTTGTACCCCTGCCATGACCGTCTCTGCAAGCGAAAAAATACCCATTAAAGAAGTGTTTATACTTGCATTCGTTTTCCCGAACTGCCTGGTTTTATTAATGTTTTCGCGATCTTTTGAGGGTCCGGGAAATCGGACATCAACTGTTTTATGCTCATTTTTTGTTATAATGAGGAGAACAAAAAGCTGGAAGGTGCATCATTCATAAAGCTAGGAAAACTGCATGAAGCTGAAGAATATAGTGGTGTAAATTTGCTTATGGTCTGACTTACAAGGCTCTGAACTCCTGTTAACTAGAGCAAGAAAGTGTTGAGCTCACTCAGAAAGTATTTAACCCCTTCGAGTCGTCAGCTTTGATAACTGAAGATGAAACTTCGCATTTGATTCTTGGAATTGAAACAGCAAATTTTACTGACTATAATTGTAAATTAGTAGATTGTTGTGAATGTGATAACTCCAAGCACAGTATGCAGACTTAAAGATGTGTGGCAAAAGCCAGAGTGCAATAATATCAGCTGCAATGTTTGGAGAAGTTTGTTAGCTGGCTTCTTTACTGGAGGGACAAAAATGCGCAAACAGACGCTCTCACAAAAGGCACCAACATAGCTTTATGGCAATACTACGTATGCCCTGATCGAAGCGTCTCGATAGTGCTCGCAAGAACTCGACCTTGTATGCGTCCTCTCAAGCGACATTCCAACCGACTCACTTGAGGCTCACTTTAGGAGATACAGGTGAGTGGGTGATTAACACTATTTATCATGTTGATAACTCAAGTGTTCGAAGATTAGGCTAAGATACGCCTAGAAAATGCATCCAATCCTCAGGAGGCACTTGAGGGCCAATGCTGAATTGAACAAGCCACGACAGAACATGGCTGCACTGGTTTGCATTGTGGCTGCCTACTGTGCACATGCAGCTCTCAAGCAACAAAAATAATGATTGATACGTAGAGTTTAACGTCTCAAAATCACCTTATAATTATGAGCGACGCCATAGTGGAGGGCTCCAGAAATTTTGACCACAAGGGGTTCTTAATGGTGCATTCAGACGACGGACCGAATCCGGATTTGTCGTGGACGCGGACAGCTAATCCGCGGATGGTCTGCCTGCAGGCGCATCCACACGACGGACGGTGTCCTAGGGGAAAACAGCCGGATTACCCTTGACAGCAGATTCGGCGCTCACCTGCGCCCGCTGGCAGCAGACCGGTTTGAGAGTATTCAACATGGGTGCCCGCAAGAAGCGCAGCTTGGCTGCGATGTCTGTCGTGTTGTGACAAATGAACGAGTAGTGTTACTCTTTCAGGAGAAAAGGGAGTTGCTAGCAGGATATTCTTTCAACTACATTATTCCCCACTTGTAGAACTTCTAAACGTGTCTCCCGCCTTTTTTTTTAGAAGCGGCACGTCGCCGGTTGCAGAAGTTGGAATATTTCACCACCATGACGGCTAAGAATCTCGCGTGTTAAGCGACGGCGGCGACATTTCCCGAACCACCAAAAGTGATTTCTGCATATTTAATCACCCGAGAACAAAGTCTCCGGAAACTAAGTAAACAATGCTCAATCGTAGATGATGCCGACCAGTCATGCAGCTCTCCGCGAGCCATGGAGGACATGCCGCGAGCAGACGAAAAGTGTACTGGTTGCCACCGACCCCAAGCTATTCCGCTGAAGGACCGGCTCTCCCCCGCCAGAATCCCGATGTGAGAAACAGGTTGGGTTCATCCGTCCGCGAGCCACGCGGGCGAGTCGCGGACGAGGGGAATCGCTGATGTGAGGTCACGTGACGCACCGTCCGTCGCGCCATATCGGGATTCGATCCGTCGTCTGAATGCACCATTAACGTGCACCAAAATCTGAGCACACGGGCCCACAATGTTTTCGCCTCCATCGAAAATGCAGCCGCCACAGTCGGGATTCGATCCCACGACCTGCGGGTTGGCAGCCTAGTACCTTAGCCACTAAACCACCGCGATGGGGCACAAGCAACAACCATGTGATGGCATACAGACACACATGGAATGAGAGCTGGAAGAAAGTGACCATGTGAAAATGAATAGCATCAGTCGAGGTGGATTGAAGTTCTCACAGCCAGCTGCTGTTTTCGACCACGTCGCTACCAAAGCCCCCCTTTCATGCCGGTCATTGACTAACGCTCAATTGTGTTTTTATGCATTTGTTGAATGGTAACCTTATAATTATGAGAGGATCATTATTGTGATTAAAATGGTGGCCCGCTGCCCAGTGCCCGTACTCCTCAGCATGCTTCACAGCAGTAAGCTTTAACTTTGCCATGTAACTTTTCCGCATAGCTGGCATACTGCAGCTGAAAATAAAAAAGGCGTAGACCAACAGAACGAGTAAGATTGTAAACGACGACTGGCCTGACTGCCCGACTCCCTGAACAACAGCATGCAACAGTGGCCGAAGCCGAGCCCAATTTGGCTTGAGTTGGATTGGGGCACCTATCGACATCTTATGCTGATTTCACTGAGTACCGCCTACGAAACTTGCGCAGCTTCCATGAGCTGAAAACTTGCACGACGGCGTTATGTATTTTTGTCTGTGTTGTGGAATTGTAGTATCGGCAGGTTGCGTCGTCGTTCTTATAGTTATGATGCATGATTTGCATCGTATTGCTCTAGTCATTTATAAAAAAGGCCAATCAGTATCAACACGAGTTTCTCTCAAAAGAACTACAAAAAAGCATGTATGAGACCCACCGTTGTATAAAACGCACCTCCGAAAACTTTGAAAAAAAAAACACGTTTTATACCGCGGGAAATAGGGTAGGTGGGGACGCATATCAATGCAGGTTGGGTCTGATCTAATCCAATCTACATCCTAAATACTGGAGTCAGTAAATACAGCAGTTCAGGCAGATCTGATTCAATCAAATTCACATCGTAAGTGGCGTGGGCTACAGCCATTGTAGTCAGCTAGATTATACTCCAGAGGCAGAACCGGCCAGACTCTTGAGTCCTCATTTTACACAGATGCCAGAAGATGTCGCCAGTTGCTACGTTTCCTAGCAGGTTTGACTTTGATATCCGACTATCGCAGGCTCCTCCAAACTTTCATCTGCGGTTACATTTAGCTTATGTGTATGCTTCCTGATTCTTCCGAACATCAAACAGCTGACTTGCTCACTGCCTGGCTGAGGAGTTTTATTTTGGCCACATATACATAATTTTCTAATTTACTGCACGCGTTGAGAACATTCTGAGTACATATGGTAAGTATGTTTATACTTATATAAAGTGCGTGTTTTTTTCGACCACTCAAGGGTTTATTTCCAGGGCACAGAGTTTTACATGCAGACGTGGCGATCAAGGAATTCGCTTTTAATGATCATGGAAAACCTGGAAAAGTTGGGGAATTTAGAAATACCAAATTGGTAGACACCCTGAATGGTACGGCAAGTGCATCTAAATTTCCCCTTTCCCCGCGGTTCCCATGTCGGCTGTGGCACTTAAATGACCAGAACATAGGTTTCTTACATTTATTTTTACAGAGGTATAATGCTTTAGTATGAAGATGACTTTTACTATGTTAGCTAATCTCTAATCTTGACTTGCTGTTCACGTTGGATGCACTGTTTCAATCGCATTATGAACATTGCAACTTTTTAACATTATATTTTTTTATTCGTCTAAGCTATAGTTGCTGTCTAAAGCGCCGCCTATGTTTTTCTTTATGTTGCTACGCTTTTAGCTTCTATGTCGTAAGGTTTAATATATATATATATATATATATATATATATATATATATATATATATATATATATATAATTTTGTGGTATGTCTGGATGCTTGATCAGCATTGCGGGCTTTCTAAAGACCACGGGAATTTTTAGTGTTTACCAGAAAGCAAAAATTCCAATTAACAGTGATGTGAGAAATCGAAAAACTCGAGAAATCGAGAACTCGAGAAATATGCTCTGAAACTAAAGTTTGGTGCTCCAAGACACACTTTATAATGCTACACAGCTGCTACAAAACTCCATTTTTACTGCTCCAAAGCTGCTCGGAAACGGCATTATTCCTTCTTCCAAAGGTGCTCCTAAAAACTGAAGCCCACTTCCATCTCTGAATACTTTTTAAAGTGAAACGAGGCTAATGCCCATGTCACTTTTTTGGTTGAAAAGAAGCGGAAATAACACTAAATAGTAGCAGGATTTGAATTTTGGTAGAATGTGATTACCCAGGAAACTTGTTAAGCTCCAATATTTACATAGAACAAATAAACCGGCATAATAGGCTTTTGAACATTTATTAATTATAAATAAGTGTGAGGGTAGTATGTTCATTGAACCTCAAAGCGGGCGCTTTGTGGCAGTGTCCATTTCTTCTAAATAGGTGTGTCTCAGATTCCTCCTCCACTGCAGTGAACAGGAGGTTACAGGAGTTCACATGACGGATAACATTGTCACGATACAATGCGAATGATTAGAAGTGATGGCGTAGTGGTTAGAGCATCCGCCTCACATGCAAAAGGTCCGTGGTTCGAATCCCGGTGCCGCACAGTTCCCAACCGGATAAAAAAAATCCGCGTGGTGATGGAACTGCATTAACAGGCCTAGGGTGCGGCCTCACCAGTGACCACCGCCGGTAACACACTCCCTCACCAGAGAAGGATTGGCACCCCTGATGCAGCATCTGGCCACTACCTCCCACATACATACGTCAATGCATACGTCCTACATGCATATGGCAGTCAGATCTTCAACGCAGATCTAACCCTCGTCAGATCTGCGTTGCAGATCGACGAGGGTCAGATCGGACAAATCGCGCAGTGCCAGCTGAAAGCTCCAGTGATCACAACATGCCGACCAGCAAGCCACTGGAACAAGGACTGGCGCCCGGGTCCGGCGCCGCAGACGGAGGAGGACATGAGAGCGGCCGCCAAAAAGTAAGAGATGCTGTACGAGGACTACAAGGTGCGGGCCGAAAGCGAGGGTCTGACGTGGAGCGACTACCCAAAGCTCCCAACGGTGACGGCGGGATCCAGGGATCCCGAAGAGGACTACGACTTTCCCACCCTGAAACGAAACAATGGCGAGCCGGTCAACATCTACGTCGATGCGTACACCCCCGAAAGATTTGATCATTGCTGCAACGCAGCAGAGGGTGCTAAGAATCTCTGGATCAGGACAGGCCGCCATTCAAACTTGAACTTAGCAACGTTTAACGCTAGAACCTTGTCTAGTGAGGCAAGTCTAGCTGTACTATCCGAGGAGCTAAAGGATGTTAAATGGGATAAAATAGGGATCAATGAAGTTAGGAGGATAGATGAGACCTATGCGGTGCTACAGAATGGGCACGTCCTTTGCTATTGGGGCTTGGCTGTCAGAATAGAACTGGCAGTGTGGCTCCTAATTCATAGAAGCATAGCTGACAACATAGAAGCACACTATAGCATTAATAAAAAGGTGGTAGGTATCTGTGAGGATTCGAGAAAAACGACAACGACGAAGGTGCGCGACAAGGCACATGCGATTACGAGGCAACTGTGCGCCCCTCAGCTGATGACTAGCGGTGGCCCATAAAAGTGGCGTGCCACGATTGGGCGACGTGTGATCATTACGTGGCGGTAAGCTTTGTGGCTGGGGACGAGCTGGAGCAGCGGCAGACGGGAGACAGCGGGCCGAGGCGTCGGACGCAGGCGATCCAGGTTCAGGCCGGGGAACGCGGCTATCCACGCTACTGCCGTCCAACTACCAGCTGGGGTGGCATTGCCGGCACGAGTACTGCATTTCAGGGCGCGGCCTGGCCTGCTGTTCTCTTCCTTGTCGAGGGCATCGCGGATCTCGGCGAGGCGTCTCCGTGGTCAGACGTTCGGCACAGCGATGAACGTGGCCTGGCTAATGGTCACGGTTGCGCCGAGCATCGCGTCTCGACGCAAGCTGTTCGCTGGACGGGCTGGCCATTTACACCAATGGAGCATCGCGTCTCCGATGCGGGTTGACTTCTCCGTAGCCGCACCCATGCCATCAAGCGCCGGTGTCACCAGAGCGTCGCACATCGGCAAGGGACGAGCGAGACGTTCTACCGGGCGAGACACGGGCGTGTGTTCGGAGGACCACGGAGCCGGGCGAGGTTCAGGGTGGCCGAGGATCCAGGTGCCAGGGGAGTTCTGGCTGAATCGAGGATCGCCGAGTGGTGCCGAGCCGTACCGAGCGACGCGCCAGACTCGGACGTGGGCCGCGAGCTCATGAGCTGCAGTGTGCACCCGAGAGTACCCGGCGGTGCCCTGGCCAAGGAGAAGGAATGTGGGAAAAGGAGCTCGAGGGTTGAGGCCACGAAGGCAGACGAAGCGGTGCGCCGCTCGAGAGGACGAGTTCCTGGCAGCGTTCCTGAGCCGGACGTGGGACCCGTACGTGTCGGCCAGGTCGAGCCCCGGTGTGTCCGTTCGAGGTCGAGTCCGTCAGCCTGTACAAGGTCCAAGGACGGGGCCTGCTGAACGGTTCCTGCCTGGGTGCAGTGGCCGGGAGCAGGTTCGTGGGCGTGGCCTACCGGAAAAACAGTACTGAAAGTTGGGCGAGTTGGTACTCATTCATGACTTCTTTGCGCAAACACGTACACGGACACAAGGAAAAGAGGCAAACAACACGGGTGCAAACTCACAACTGGTTTATTTTGAACCACGAACTGTACTTATATCTTCACGTAGCCCACACGCCCCCCCCCCCCCTCGGTAGATCCAGGAACGCACGAGATAACCTAAAGAAAGCTTATTCACCGCTACGTCATGATAAGAACAACAAAACGACAAAATTTGAAGAGTTCACGCATCTGCAGACGGATAGTTGCACGTGCCTTTCAAAAAGTCAGATTTTTTATCGGACAAGGTGACGGAAGCTTGGCTAACACATTTTTCTCCCATGTTTCTAATATGGAATGCTTCAATCAACTCCCTGTTAATTTTTCTCTTGTGAGTTTACAGAATCTTTGTGTCTGTAAAAATTGGTACGCACGCACAAGACTAGCAGTGATCCACCAGATCTGTTCGTCCTGAACTACGTAATGCCGAGTCATGCTCCCTCAACCGTGTGTTTACACACCTTCCAGATTGCCCGACATAAGATCTGCCAAAGCTGAACGGAACCTGGTATACCACTGCTGTTCTGCAATACCGGTATTGTTGGCTGTGTGGGCTACGTGAAGATATAAGTACAGTTTGTTGTTCAAAATAAACCAGTTTTGAGTTTGCGCCCATGTTGTTTGCCTCTTTTCCTTGTGTCCGTGTACGTGTTTGCGCAAAGAAGTCATGAATGAGTACCAACTCGCCCAACTTTCAGTACTGTTGTTACAAATTTCTTGTGCACAGGGCCCTTTTCAGTGTACTAATCTTCATCTCGCAAACCCCGCCACGGTGGTTTCAATAATAGCAGTAAGTATATGTAAAGCAAGGACGGCGTCATGGTACAGGAAAATTGGACAGTGTCCCCCAGAAGTTCACGTTCTGTTCGGGAACCTGGATCCGTCGAGCGGCCACGCCCGTCGAATATGCAGCATTCTGAACTCTGAGATGTGGTTTAAAGCCCGCTACTACAAAGATCTACTCAAAGTAACCTGCGCTAGGGAACAAGGCACGAATGACCGTGGCAAGAGGTACAGAGAATGGTGCCGAATAGCTGACAAGAGCACCGAGGCTCTCTGGAAGTCAGTCCTTCGTGGGTTACCCAGGAAGAAGAAAAAGACACAAGTTGCCAAACAAGAGGTATTAGTTCTAGGTGAACACAACATTCCTGCTGAGTACATCCAGATGCTTGAAAGAGGTCTGAAGTTCGCACTCGAAGAGTCACCGTCTCCCGTGGATAATTTCGCGTTTTGCCGGCAGGTGTCAAAAAACGTTGAAGAAGAGCTTCGCCCAGGGTGCTCGTCTGAATGCGTGGATGTATTGTCTCGGAGAAGGAATCAACGCCAAAGGCCTGTGAGTGTTTGACCACTTTTGTCCTTTTTTGCAGAAGAAAAACTGAGGCAAATTCTTTCGGATAAAGAAGGCCATTTTGTGGTGCTGTCAGAAAGCCTGTTCGCAGAAAAGGCTAGCGCAGCCGTTGAGAAAAAATTTAAAAAAGTGCCGGCCAAACGGCCAACTTAAAGAAGAGTGCACTTCAGTTATTGTCGAGTCTGGGACTCGACGCAGTCGCAGCGAATGTCAAAAAAGCACAAGGAATGCAGCTTGACATGTTTTTCGTTGCCAAAACGCACAAAAATGACGTTCCTTTTCGGGCGATCGTATCAGAAGGACACACGTGGCTCGAAGTGGTCTCCCGCTTTCTACAAGGACAGTTGTCTGCCCTAAAAATTAATGACCCCTACGGAATCCGCAACTCGCAAGCCCTGGTTGACTTCTTTCGCAAGGATAACCCGTCACGCCTGAGCGCAGCGAGCATTGATGTAGAAGACCTCTACTATTCGCTTCCACATAGTGAACCAGCGGAGAGCGTAAAAGTTTGCATCACGCAACACAACGACGAGTTGGAGTTCCGGTCAAGGTGCGGGTTAACAGTGGAGGCATTTCTGGAACTGCTCATGGTGTATTTACAGTCCACTGTTGTTGGTGTTGGCAAGGACCTATATGTGCAGAAGGCTGGTGTATGTATCGGGTCGGCTGTAGCACCCATCCTAAGTGACATTTTCCTCAGTCGCGTTGATAGAAAAATGTCAGATAGTCTAGCAGGGACTGCGGAACACATTTTCCGGTACGTGGACGACTATCTTGTACTCGTACCTAAAGATAACTATAACCAGAACGTCATCACAGTTCTCAAGGTGTTTAGAGAAAATTCCTGTGGGCTGAAGTTCTCAATAGAGTTTGTACAATACAATTCTCTACAGTTTCTGGACATCAAGTTGCTTTTCAAGGCAGATCACGTGTGTTGGCAGTATAGTCCACGAGCCAAAAAACCACTGCTAAATTTTGCATCTAGTCACTCAAAAGTAATAAAAAATGCGATAGTATCCTCATGCTTTAGATCTTCATTGCTTCGGTCATGTGTGCACGAGATTGCTTCCAGCTTTCAGGGCCAGCTAAGCAGGCTCAGGGCAGCTGGGTATCCCAGCCATTTGCTGAACACTATTTGCAAAAAACTCATCCCAGTGATAAAAGGTACGGAAAGAAGTCTCAAAAGAGTACAAAGTGAAAAAAGAAGGCTTGAAGTTCTCCGATATGTTCATAGGTTGTCCCATGGCTTAAAAACGTGGCAGCGAGATACGGAGTAACCTCGGTTTTTACAGCACCCAACAAGCTGTCTAAGTTGTGTCCACGACTTCGGAACATGGTGGAGTCCGGCACTACGCAGAGCAAGAACAGCTGCCAGATGAAACACAGCCAACAATACCGGTCTTGCAGAACAGCAGTGGTATACCAGGTTCCATTCAGCTGTGGCAGATCTTATGTCGGGCAATCTGGAAGGTCTGTAAACACACGGTTGAGGGAGCATGACTCGGCATTACGTAGTTCAGGACGAACACATCTGGTGGATCACTGCAAGTCTTGTGGGTGCGTACCAATTTTTCCAGACACAAAGATTCTGTCAACTCACAAGAGAAAAATTAACAGGGAGTTGATTGAAGCATTTCATATTAGAAACATGGGAGAAAAATGTGTTAGCCAAGCTTCCGTCACCTTGTCCGATAAAAAATTTGACTTTTTGAAAGGCACGTGCAACTATCCGTCTGCAGATGCGTGATCTCTTCAAATTTTGTCGTTTTGTTGTTCTTATCATGACGTAGCGCTGAATAAGCTTTCTTTACGTTATCTCGTGTGTTCCTGGATCCACCGATGGGGGGGGGGGGGCGTGTGGGCTACGTGAAGATATAGGTACAGTTTGTTGTTCAAAATAAACCGGTTGTGAGTTTTCGCCCGTGTTGTTTGCCTCTTTTCCTTGTGTCCGCGTACGTGTTTGCG